GGGGAAAAATGGGGATCTTGATGTCGAGATTATTTTCAGCGTTTTCTGGAGAAAGGGAAGCGCACATACTTATCCTTAGTCTGGATAGTAACATGTGCTTTGCATCCAGGACCTACCGGCGGTGCAGTTTCAGAGGCTGCCGAGTTTAGGCGCCAAGTCCAGTTCGAAACTGGACCGTTGATTCAGATCAACGGTCCAGGCCAGTAGGTACCAGCAGGTAGGAGGCCGGCCCAGCACTTCAAAAGGCTGGGTACCAGCCTCAGTGGTAGGTTAGTATGGACCGCAGGTTAGTCTTCAAGATTAGCGCAGCGTTCCAGCGTTAGTACGATTAGCGCAGCGCTGCAGCATAGCGAGGAGCAGCGACGAGAGCAGGAGTTCAGCGGCGAGAGGATTAGCGCAGCATTGGGCGCAGCGCCAGCTACCAGCACAGCCCCCTTGCAGCGCCATAGCTACTGTGTCAGGTACCAGGGAGGAAGGCTTCGCCTTCTCTCCCTCATCTCCTCCACCGCTCCCTCTCTCCCTCTCTCTCTCTCTCTCTCCTCCTGCCTTCTCAGTCTAAGTCTACTCCTGGGTTTCTCCTACACGGCTACTATGAGTATGAAGGATGGTTACAAATTCTGATGACATTGGGAACAGCGACATCGGGACTATAGGTTGAGGACTACTTGGGGGATCTGATTTCATCTTCCTTCTGGAGATGTACTTGACATTGTAAGATCGATATCTGAGACATTGCATTCGCGACATTTCGGATTTTCGTCACTTCTGACATTTCAAGATACTATCTTTGGAAACATTGAGTTGACATTATCTTCCCTCTCCTCCTCCCTTCGTCTCTCTCCTCCCTCCATTCATCCGTGGATGATCTCAGATCCTGGCCTTCGTCTATGTCTACGGCCAGGGCTTTCACACCCCTGATGTATGGTTGAGAGTGTTTGATTGCAGTCCGAGTCAGGATAGGGTCAGTCCATGTATCTCAAGTCTTCCGCTTGCAATTGGTATCAACTCTGTATTATCTGGTCGGTTCTGGGAATCTGCGCCATACTTATGACTGTGTTCACGAGTATGCAACAGTTTGGTATCGGAGCAGACCAGCATTGGATGACTCACCATTGATTGCTTGATTGCTTGATTGCTTGATTGATTGATTGATTATCACACCTGTACTCTGTTATCATTAAAATCGCAAGTTGCAATTTTTTTCTTTTCTCGCACTTAGATAGTAATTAGGCCGCCCCTGCACAAGGATGACACTCATAAATCGAGATATGGTATATAAATTTTAGGTTTTGCTACTTTTCTCCAGATTGCACAAATTAGGGAACCGCTAATTACGAGTAACCTCATTAGCGCTAATTAGGGTTAGTCCTAACCTAATCTAACGACCTATCAGACTATGGGAAGTAAGTGCCAGCCAGGCACTGCGCCAGTTAAGGCAGACCGGGCCTGAGCATGGCCACATTCAAACTGCAACTTCACGGAACTTTCACTTTTTGCAAAACGCATCTTTTATTGCGGTTAAAGGTTGAATCTTTACAGCAAATTGTCTATCTTCCTACTACCATCTATCTTCTACTTAATTAGTGACCTCGTGATGATGCTAACTTCTCCCGATTAAATTTCGTGAAATTATTAAAGTTATGTTTAAATGTTTAAACTTGCTTTAAAAATTTTACTTGTGCAAATTAAATATTCTTAATTAAAATATTTAAATTTTGCGAAATTAATTATTGCAAATTTAAATATTCTTTAATTAAATATTTAAATCTTTTGCCAAAATTAAATTCTATTGATTCATAATTTTCGATTAAATTTTATTTAATTTCTCAAAATTCGAAATTTTCGTCGGGGGGGAATTTTTTTTTTTTTCCCCTCTCTTTTGATTAGTGTCAGACTTCGAGGTCAGGGAAGAAAGGGACTGTCTGTGCATTGCTTGCCTCTCTGCCCTTCTTCCACCCCTACCTTCTCTCTCTCCCCCTCTCCGTACTATGGACATCAGTCTCCGGCCACGTCAGCATCGTGCCACATCAGCAGCGGGCCACGAGCACAGATTGCCACATCAGCCGTGTGCCACCTCAGCGTGCCACGACAGCCGAGTGCCCAGTCAGCAGCAGCCACCTCGGCAGTGCCACACCAGCAGGTGCCACCTCAGCGGTGACACCTCAGCAGCAGACGAAGACCAGAGTACTTGATGCGCCGCAGTCAACGGCTCACTGAGGGCGGATCCGCAGGAGCCAAACCCCAACAGGACCTAACATCCCTCGGATCCCGCGCAGACTACGCACGACCATGGCCGCTACCGCTGACACCAACGATCAAGCCAACCCCAAGAGGCCGGTTACCCCGCCCATACCAGTTCAGCAGGCTGATGAAACACTACTAGCATTTCTCAAACGTCTACAGATCTACTTGGAGACCGCTGCAGCTGAACTGAGCAAGTGGGAAGAGGAAGCCGCCCGCCAGCAGAAAATTCAACGCCAGCAGGCAGAGGCAGAGGCAGCACGTCAGCAGGCCGCAGCCGAAGCTGCAGCAGCCGCACGGTTGCAACAGCAGCAGGTCGAGGCAAGTCAAAACCAAGTTCGTTACCAAGCTACAATGGAGCTCGCCAACGAAGAAGCCACGTATCGGAGGGTACTCCGACAGCAGCATTTTCGAGCAAACGAGGAACAAGAGGAGCCGACCGAGGACGAGAGAAACAAGGAAGCCACAGCAGTTCTGATGGAGAATCTGCTGTACCCGTGCAATTGGCAGCAACGTAAATTGCTGGCCATGAGGCAGGTCTTCATCCGCCATGAAACAAGGTTCAAGGCATTGGACAAGAAGATCACTACCCTGCAGGCCGAGATCAGCACACTACACGCCGCCAACAGCCAGCAGCAGACACTCAATGACCAGCTGCAGACCGATGTCAGCATGGGGTTGGCACAACTGTCAGCAGCTGCGTCAACGGGCAGCACAGTGGTAGACTGCAGCCCAGCTTTGGCTGCGCAGGCCAAGCAACTCGAGGAGCGGATCAACCACGTGGTCGCATCCCTCGGCGACATCAGCAAGTTTGCTGGAGCATCGACAGTCAGCAATCAGCTGCAGACGCTCAGCGACCGCGTTCAGCAACGACCGGCCGCTGTCGCCAAGGAATGGAAGATGCCAAACTTCAAGATCGAGAAGTTTGACGACTACCACAAGACAGATCCGTTGCAATGGTGGATGGCTTTCAACGCGGAGGCGGATGTACATCACACCCCCGAACTACGGCGGCTTGACGCACTCTACCTCCAACTCATCGGAGGGGCGCAGGCTTTCATGACCCACATGGCCGTGATGTTGGAATGCACCATCGCCACCCTCCACACCAAGACTACGTGGGAGGAATTCGAGAAGAAGTGGAAGACCCGGTTCATGATCAACAACGACAAGTGTCACACCTTGAACAAGATCATCCGCATGTTTCAAGGCCAGCAACCTTCACGGGAGTGGCTGACGGAGTGGCAGAAACTCGTCGCCACCCCGGTTACCATTCGACGCAATCCGGGCTGAATTTTTCGCTCGGTAATGCGACGCCTTGACAGCTGCGCTGGGCAGCGAATTCCAGTATGAGACCTTTGATGATATGATCTCAAAGGCACGAGAACTAATCCAAGGTAACTGGCGTGCGGCCAATGAGGCCCGCCAACAGCCCGGTTATGTGGAAAAAGGCAAAGGTCAGCAAACGCCGCAAGTAGCAGCAGTCCAACAAGGACCAAGTGAGGACCCCGCAGCCGCATCTACATTAAGTGACGGAGATGTGGCGGCAGCAATACCACCGCAACGCTCACGACCCCGAGGGGGAAAACAGAAGGCGAAACCAGCGTCGGTGGATGGAGCACGACAGGCACCATGGATGAAATTCGGTATCACCGAAGACATGTTCAAGTTGCGATAGAAATGGGATGCTGTTTTTGGTGCAACAACACCAAACACATCACCAGCGCATGCCTCAGCAAGGACAAGGAAAATGTCAAGCGTCCAAGCTCGGGAAACTGAGCACCGCGGGAAGTGCAGCGACATCACTTCCCAATCCGTCGAAGTCGGCTGCCTTGAGAGCAGTCTCTCTCACATCCGGGGATGACGCGGTAGTCGGAAGTTCTCGCATCGATTTTGAGAACTATGCTGTCGAGCTGGTCCCACCATTGAACCAGCCTCTCCACGTGCAAGATTCAAGCCCATGCATGGTAGTTCCCTCGTCGGACAACGAACCGGTTGCTGTGTCAGCCAATCTATTGAAGGACACGTCAACTTGGGCGAGACTTGAGGAACTCGACCCGTTGACGGTTGAGGACTTCCAATGGTTGCCTCTTCCCTCCACCGGTTCTTTGCCAACACCGCATTGCAATGCCTTAATGACACATTTGCGGGAATACTTGCACGCTGCAGTACCACCTCCATCGACGGACGGCGGAGTAGCGGTTGTTGACCTTCGTAACTATCTTGCGAAGCTCGACCGTGAGTACGCAACGCAACGGTACGTCGACATCGACGCGCCTCTCCTTTACATCCGCATTCAGATCAGAAAGGCAACCTGCAGTGCCTTGATCGATTGTAGAGCGACTCGCAACTACATCAGCCAAGACTTCATGGCACGCACTGGGTTTGGCCCGCACGTTCGAAGGAAAAGTCAGCCTACACACGTCACGTTGCCCGATGGTCAAACACAAAAGTCAATCGACCGATGCCTTGACTCGGTGCCCGTGCACTTTGCCCCGCTAGCATGCGAGCCCGTGTCTTTCGACATATTGGACACCAAGTTCGATATGATCCTAGGAATGTCGTGGCTGCAAAGCGAAGACCATCCGGTGAACTTCTATCGACGCACTGTTCACATTCGTGATCGGCGTGGCGAACTAGTCCCGTGTACGGTGCCTCTTCCTCATCAATCGATTGGTTGTCACATGGTATCCGTGGCGAGCATTCGCCAATCCATCCGGCGGAACAACATCGAGGAGATGGGCATGTGTTTTCTTCACGCCCTCCCACCCGGTGATCAGCCCAAGACGGATACGTCGGACCCACGCATCATTGAGGTGTTGGACAGCTATGAGGATGTCTTCCCAGCTCCCACCGAAGTCATACCGGATCGGCCCATACGCCACGGGATCACTCTCGAGGACGGCGACGTACCTCCGCGCGGATGTATCTACCGCATGAGCGAAGAGGAGCTTCAAGTGCTTAGGGCACAACTAGACGACCTCTTGGCCAAGGGCTGGATTCGCCCTAGCTGTTCGCCATACGGTGCTCCCGTTCTCGTCGTCCGGAAGAAGAACAAGGACCTTTGTTTGTGTATCGACTATCGAAGACTTAACGCGCAAACAATTAAGAACGTCGGCCCTCTACCTCGGATCGATGACCTTCTCGAGCGACTAGGCGGCGCCAAGTACTTCTCGAAGCTTGACCTCAAGTCCGGATATCACCAGATTGAGATCCAGCCAAGAGATCGGTACAAAACTGCATTCAAGACGCGGTATGGGCACTTCAAGTGGATCGTCATGCCTTTCGGTCTCACCAATGCCCCGGCTACTTTCCAAGTGGCCATGATGATGGAATTCCGCGACTTGCTCAACCGCACCATACTCATTTACCTTGATGATATCTTGGTTTATAGCCGGACGCTGGATGAGCACCTCGAGCACCTTCGCGCCGTTTTGGAGCGGCTCCGTATCGCCAAGTACAAGGCAAACCGCGACAAGTGCGAGTTTGCCCAGCAAGAACTGGAGTATTTGGGCCATTACGTTACGCCACAAGACATTCGTCCGCTCGCGGACAAGGTACAAGCCATTCAAGATTGGTCGGAACTTAAGTGTACTACTGACGTCCGCTCCTTTCTCGGCTTAGCATCATATTACATGCGCTTCGTCAAAGGATTTCAATGCATCGCTGCACCATTGTCGCGACTTCAGTCCCTGGTGCCCTTCGAGCTCAGCGACGAAGCCCGGCATTCGTTCCACACGCTGAAGACGACTTTGCTTCAAGCTCCCGTCTTAAGCATCTATGACCCAACCTTGCCTACTAAAGTGACTACGGACGCTTCCGGCTACGACATTGGCGCGGTTTTGGAACAACATGACGACACAGACTGGCATCCGGTTGAGTACTTCAGCCAAAAGGTGCCGCCCTCAATACTCTTGATGATGCGAGGAAGAAGGAACTGCTAGCGATGGCGTCACTTTCTCCTCGAGCGTTGGCGATTCCCGTGGGCAATGAACAACAATCCGTTGACGTATTACAAGACGCAAGACACGGTGAGCAGCACGATCGGTCGGTGGATGTACTTCATTGACCAGTTCGACTTCACCTCCAAGCAGATTTTGGGCTCCTCGAACATGGCAGCGGATGCTCTCTCGCGAAGACCTGATCTTTGTGCCTTGGTGCACTCCACATTCAGCCTCGATGAGAACCTGCAACAGCATTTTGTAAACGGATACAAGTCAGATCCGGGATTCTCCACACTCTATGCGGACTTATCATCGGATCACCCGCCGGCAAGCAACTATCGCATTGACGACGGCTACTTCATATACGAGGCAAGGACTTGTTGTGTGTGCCCCAAGACCGCATCTTGCGCACTCGCCTCCTTGGCGAATACCAGGATTCGTGGTTGGCGGGACACCTTGGCGTCGCACGCACACTTGCACGACTCCGCCAGCGATTTCACTAGTCGGACATCATCAGCGACGTCAACTGGTACATTCAGTCATGTGCAGTTTGCCACCAGAACAAAAGGCGCCATCAGCTCCCATACGGCGAACTGAAACCATTGCCGATTCCTCGGGAACGGGGTCTCTCCATTGCTATGGATGTGACCGTCCCTTTCCCTCGCGATCGCCTTGGCCATGACAGTATTCTCACGGTCGTTGACCATTTGAGCAAGTACACTCGATTTTGTCCATGCAAGTATCATGCGACGGCTCCCGAGCTCGCACGACTTTTGCATACCGGCTGGTTTGCAGCCACGGCGTTCCGGAAGACATCATCAGCGGCCGCGACACTCGTTTCATGTCGGCCTTTTGGACGGCACTCATGGTGGAATCCGGCACCAGCATGAAACCGAGTTTCGCACGACATCCTCAAACGGATGGGCAAACGAAACGTGCGCACCAGACTGCGCAGATGATGCTCCGCACACTCATCCGCCCGGATCATCAGGACTGGGTTGACCGCCTTCCCGACATTGAGTTCGCCTACAGCACTTCGGTGCACCCGGCGATTGGCGTGACTCCATTGGAGTTGCATCACGGTGGACGGAAAGGACGTACCTTCGCAGACATTTTGCTTCCACGGCCTGCCGATATCAACGTCGCTTGCTCCCAGGGAACTGCTGGTCAAAGCCCACGCAAACATGCAAAAGGCTCAGGTCCGTATACAGCAGCAAGCGAACCGGCATCGCATCCCATGTCCAATATGCGCTGGCGACCTAGTTTGGGTCACCTCCGAGGAATTTGCGCTCGAGCTCCTCCTGAGTGAAGAGGATTGACTGTCGGCTTTCCCTTCTCAACTATTCCTCTCAGGCTCCTCCTTCGGGCCTGTCCGCTAGAACCCGTTCTGCTTCCATATTAATCCTGATTGAGTTCCGACCTCCCTGTACGTGTTGATGCTTCCCTATCATGATCTTCTAAGAAGCTCATTTACTGGCGAGTCTGACCGATGCCACTTCTTCCATACCAGCTTGTTATCTATTACAGTAGTGATCTTGCCCCATAGTAGCCAGTCTCTCAGGAATGCCGGTCTCTTGAGTACGAGCTTCTCAGGTCTATACTTTGTGGAGGCTAACGTCCTTCGCCAATTGCTCTGGATCTCAATCGCCACCATCCTTAGCAGTAAGGTCCACATTTCCTCTCTTGACGCTTCTCTCCCTTTGATTGTCTTTGTGCATCTGCACTTCCAGATGACCCAGAGTGACAGCTTCCTGAGTAGTCTGAACCAAATGTCCTTGCTGCCTTTGAGACTCTTGGGCGTGTTAGAGAGAATTAGGATAGTTAGGGAGGTGATGTTGGGGGGTGAGGAGGAGAAGAGGATGGACCATAGGTCCCGGACCTCGTTCCAGATCCAGGCCGCTTTGGGGCAGAAGAGGTGGTCGTGGGGGATATCTTCCTGAGTGTTGTGGTTGCACAGACCACAGAGATCTGAGCTGCTTGAGTCTGAGTGTTCCCTCCTTTTGTGGAGCAACTGGTTGACGGGTAGAGCCGCATGGGCTATGGGCCAGATTCTTGTTGGTTGATGAGAAGCGATTTCGTCCAAGGGATAGTGCAAAAAGCAGTAAGAGCTTTTCACGCACCTGCAAAGATACCTGACCCGTTTCTCAGACACCAAAGTCAACTCCAGATGCGGCTGCATGCTTCAACACTGCTGAAATATAGCCACTTCGATTTGGAAAATACACTTGAATAAAGCTCGTGCCGAGTGCGGGAATAAGTACTCATAATCCTATCGATTAATAAGTACTCATAAATTCCTGTCGTTTCGGTTTTCATTTGATGTGTCACAGGAAACTCTCACCAAGCAAAGACTCTGAACCTTAAACTCGAGATGGGAATCATGACCTGGACAAGGTTCGGATGATTACAAGAAAAAACAAATAGATGGTCCAAGTGAATCTGGCTTGAGTGCACTATCAAGCACGGAAACCTTCCCCAATAATGGAAACGCACCATTCCTCCCCCCATTTCTCTTCCATCTTCTGGTCGCTATGTGCCCCTTATCTTGAGCTCTTTCAAAGAGCTTGGCATGATTTACAACATTCGGGGCTGTGAGACCATTCCTGGAAAGGCCGAAGGACTAGCCCAGGAATTAAGCGTTGAACTAAGCCATAGGGTGTGACTGAATTTTCACTACCAGGTCGATAAGCTTTCCAGACCATTGGATATCAGACCACCCGGTTCATCTATGGAAACTCTGGCAATGCACTTCGTGCCGGCACACTGAAAAAAAGCAAAAGTTGAAGGCGTTCACAAATTTTCTTGGTAGAGGCAACTTCTGAAATCACACTTCTGATTATTCAACTTGTCATGTATGCAAACAGCGAAACAGCAACTGGCGACATGCGCCCACACAATACTCAAGATATCGTAACCAGATATGAGTTCTCTTCAACTGGCTATGGCGACTGGGCGCCCACACAACTCACTGTTCGCACTCTGGATCACCCTGGATGTCCCACACGCAACACTCGGTATCATACTTCACACACCACACATGCTAGGCTACAGCTATGGCAGCGC